ATTCCACCAAGCCGTGGAGAGAGGACGTTTGGATCGTCGCTCGGCCGAATACATTGTTCGTGCACCGGGCGGGAAAGGGAGTGAAGGTGAAGGAGCTCTTGGTGACGAAATACTGCGTCTCTCGTTTGCCAAAGCCCTTTCATATGGGCTTGTCAAAGTTGTTCCCTTGCGTCACTGCCTCATTGAAAAGCTGCCACGTGATAAATGCATATTTGCTTGAGACAATGCTTCATTTTCCTCCCACTAATTCATTCTCTCACACCCAAATTACGCCTTGATTTCAAGCAGCCAAATTAATACTGATTAAAACAATCAAATTACATCCTCTAAAATGAAAATGAACGAATACAATTTCGACTTTCTCGTGCATGTATGCCTTTATTTGTGGCCTAACTTTTCCGTATTGCATAAAAAGTAAAATTGACTTTATAGCGATAAACCAGACTTTGATATTAACAGGAAAATAGATTGATAAGCTCAGCATATATTTCGCTATTTACTTCAGCGGAAATTATGCTGCATTTTGCTGTACACTTGATACCACCTCTCACCTGGAATGTCGAAATTACTAAGCTCCCAACCGTAAAGCTTGAGATGACTACTAGCACCACTTTAATGGGGTCTAATAGTAGATAAAGAAATAGAGTACACCTTATAGGTCAAATCGTATTGTGTCTGTTCATCTAACATAATCGCAACTTAAATTGGTGTCAGCTAAGCAGTCTAATTTAGTGAAGACTAAATGGAACTTCATTGATTTATGATTAATGGAAACAACTTTTAAATGAAAGGACCCACTGAATCATTCGAAACTCCAAATTGCATGACATAGAAGTAAAATATTTCACCCTAATAAAAAATGAATTGCCTCTTTAATGATATTTTGAATATTCTATTTGCTCAAAATGCAGTTATAGTCTTGCCATACATTTAATCTCTATATGGGAGACAATTAACGCAGAATTACTAGAAGCTTTTAAACTTGTAGCAGTTTGTCCCTCATAAGTTGAAATCATTAAAAATTAAATATATTGTTGCCGTAAAACGACCATAACATGTGAGGGGCGCAGAAGTGCATGAAATATTTGTCACGGAATCTTGCGGCAAGTCAATAGTTGCCATAGCTCATTTTTGCAATATGATAAATGGAATCGATTTAACCTATTAACGCCCTTATGACAGTGGCAGGCTTTATGATAAGTATCATTAACCAATTAATTAACTTCAGGCTTCACAGATGGGGGGGGGGGACATCAAGGTCACAAAAAGTTGAGGGGTTGTGGGGGGGGGACCGGAAGAGGGATTCACAACTGTAAAAGAAACAGACGGACAGACAGACACAAAGGTAGAGAAAAAGATATGGAGAGGTGAATACTGTGGAAGTGGTGGAACATGACATACAGTGGGGGTGTTGGTAGGTGGAAGTCAGAAGTCAACTGCCAATTTATAGACTTTTTTGCCGTATGAGTATACGTTGACCATAGTGCACCATGCGGAGATATGTCTACCGCACACATCACTTCTGGAAATGCAATTTTTGAATAATAATATTATTATTATTAATAAAAGATGATGTTGCTACTTTGACCTCTAACAATTCATTGGGAGGGTGGGTAGGCAATACTAAAATGATTTACGTCTCTCAGATGATGGAAGACAGATGACTGTAATTGACTATGAAAGTTAAAAGGTTATGTGGGAATAATAGGCTGTGGCTGGCACATTTTGTAGCAATGCATTCAGATACGAGGGGTAAAATAGCAAATCAATAATTTTGGTGCGAAATGCGTGAAGTTTTGCTAATTCAATAAAAAATATTTCAAATTTATTTTTCAATTCGGCATTCTAATACTGAAGCATGCAATATATTGAGAGTTAGAAAAAAATATTCGACACGCGCATGTTCATTTACGGAAGCTGAGTCAAGTTATGGGGTAACTAAATCGTGGGAGACATTTAAAGAAACAAATTGAGGGACCGAATTGTAAAAATTCATTTATTTATTTATATCAAATGGCGGGCTTTTTTGATAGTTATCATTAGCCCTTAAGTTGACTTCAGGTTTCACAGAGGGGAAGGAACATCAAAGTGAAAAAAGTCGAGAGGGGGGGGGGAAGAAGAGAGTTTCAAAGACAAAGGTAGATAAGGTAGAAAAAAGGTGAGGTGAGTACTGTGAAGTAGCCGAATATGACATATAGTGGGGTCAGAAGTCAACTGCCAGTTAATAGACTTTTTTGCCGTATGAGTATACGTTGCCCAGGGTGCACCACGTGGAGGTGTATGAGTATACATTGCCCAGGGTGCACCACGTGGAGGTAGCCGAATGAGAATACGTTGCCCAGGGTGCACCACGTGGAGGTAAGGTGTAGTATACATTGCCCAGGGTGCGCCACGTGGAGGTAAGATAGCTTGAACTCAGAAGTCAACTGCCGGTTTATAGACTTTTTTGTCACATGAGTATACGTTGCCCAGGGTGCACCACGTGGAGGTATGTCATTTGAGTATACGTTGTCCAGGGTGCACCACCTGGAGGTAAGTCTATCGTGAGTATACGTTGCCCAGGGTGCACCACGTGGAGGTGTATGAGTATACATTGCCCAGGGTGCACCACGTGGAGGTAGCCGAATGAGAATACGTTGCCCAGGGTGCACCACGTGGAGGTAAGGTGTGAGTGTACGTTGCCCAGGGTGCACCACGGACTCTTTTGCCGTGTATACGTTGCCCAGGGTGCACCAGTTTGTTTGCCGTATGAGTATACGTTGCCCAGGGTGCACCACGTGATAGACTTACTTGCCGTATGAGTACACGTTGCCCAGGGTGCACCACGTGGTGCCTTATGAGTATACGTTGCCCAGGGTGCACCACGTGGAGCCGTATGAGTAAACGTTGCCCAGGGTGCACCACGTGGAGCCGTATGAGTATACGTTGCCCAGGGTGCACCACGTGCCGTTTGAGTATACGTTGTCCAGGGTGCACCACCTGGAGGTAAGTCTATCGTGAGTATACGTTGCCCAGGGTGCACCACGTGGAGGTGTATGAGTATACATTGCCCAGGGTGCACCACGTGGAGGTAGCCGAATGAGAATACGTTGCCCAGGGTGCACCACGTGGAGGTAAGGTGTAGTATACATTGCCCAGGGTGCGCCACGTGGAGGTAAGACCGTATGATTATACGTTGGCCAGGGTGCACCACGTGGAGGGGTATACGTTGCCCAGGCTGCACCACGTGGAGGTAAGTTTATAAGTCTATTGCACACCCAATTGTAAAAATAGAAGTTCGGAGTTTTAGCAAAAATATGTTTTCTCAGGGGGGCGTCAAAACTAGGAACAATGTGTTTTTCCTTCACATGGCTATTTAAATATGAGGTCAGGCTGAAATGGATTGATAATAGTGGTGATAAAGCGTTCATATTGCACTAATCTCAAGCTACTTGTAACTAATCCAATGACAAAAGTGGTGATTGAGTGGTTCAAAATAAGAAAGTGAGCCAATGACAAACCCAAAATAGTTTACTTCAAGAACTTTTAGAAATAACTATTACTTCATCCTAAAAAATGCAATTGTCTGAGGATTTATTGATTTCGAAGGATGCTTGTATAACTGATTTCTGAATCACATAGATTTAAATACTTTTTAGACTTCTTGAAATCTTAGACGTTGCGCTGATTTGTTGCAAGTAAATGTGAAATCATTTCTGGACTATTCTAATTAAGAATAACAGATTGATGTTCTTTCCTACGCGTTCAGTAAATGGTTTGCTTGATTCTGACTAGTGCGAAAGTTGCTAAGCCTTATTTAATGTACAAGTATAATGGCTGCCTTTGCTATGATTGAACATGTTTACATTTGTATTAAATTTTGTTTAAATTGAAAAATCTGTGCTCTATTTATCTCCCATGCCGTTTTTTAAATAATTTTACCCTTTATTTTGTTCTAAGGCATTTTTCAGATTGACATCGAAGGATTTGACACAATATCGAATTCTTTCAATTTGCAGTGAAACGATTATCTTCGATCTACTCTCAAATGATACTATGTTTGTTCCTCCCCACCCCTCCTCCCTGATAGCCCAGGATTTTAATTAATAGACCCTATAAAAATAACCTTAAAGGTGCTGCTTCAAAGATATTTATTGATTGTGATTTGTGACTGGCTGGTGAAAGTTGGATCAATAAATAGTATTTATGTACGTTGTAAATGTGAGTGACTAATAAACAGACCAATAATCTATCTATAGATGTTGTTTTAATCACATTTGCGATGTGATATATTTGCTTAAGAGGAAGGTATCACCTTTCACTCAACTAGTGAAGCGTCAGGTGAACCTCTTGAATGGCATCGACATTAATTTTCATATGCAACAGTATCCAATGTCTTCGCTCACTTTGCCTCTATTGCTTATGAGATATCACTAAATATTTGAGGTTCCAAGTTTGCAAGTAGGCTAGTCTTCCTGACAAATTTACTACTTTTATAGTCCTAGTAAGTTACTAAAAGAGTAGCAGTTCTGAAAAATTTTTGGGGGTTGTGGGGGGGGGGGGGGGGGGGGGGGTGGGGGAGGGTGAGATAAAGTGATCTGTCGTCTTTGCATAAACGATGCTAATTAATCTGGAATGGCATTCACTTTATGCCAATCCAGTGAGTAAATAGTTAAAAATGTGCACGCCAAAAATACGAGGCAAGACAAGAAGCGAAATTATAAGTCCTATATTATAGTCTTGTCAAAAGCCAACGCTCATATATCTATAGCTAAACATCTAAGCGGGCTGTACACGTGTTAGGTGAATTGAGAAGAGTGATCTCAACCAAGTATGTGATCGGCTCTGCTTGGAATCGGTTAGAATGTGAATGTAGAAATGAAAGTTATACAATTACAATCATATTTTCATTACATTGGCAAGTCGAGTGGCATTGATTATTAATAAGCTTTTTAACCAGTGCCAAACTTAACTTGCAAAATAAGTCCCGAATTTATCATTTAAAGATGAACAGCTTTAGTCGAAGTAATATCAAAGTTGAGGATCTTTTTTTCTTTTAAATATTTATTTATATCAAATGGTAGTCTTTGTGATAGTTATCATTAGCCATTTAGTTGATTTCATGCTTCACAGAGAGGAGGAGGAACATCAAAGTGAAAAAAGTCGAAAAGAGGGGGGGGGGAACAGAAGATTGATTCACAGATATAAATATGTCAGACAGATACAAAGGTAGAGAAAGAT